ATCTGTCCTAATAATGCAACAGTGCTCCTCCGACACTCGCCACATTAATCGGCACTTCCTCTGTAATTGTACATATTTGACTCTCTCTCTCTGTCTCTCTCTTTCTCCCTCCCTCATCTGTAATAGCTGTGATTTAATTTAGCTATTTAACCTGTAATTCCAGCAATATTTATTGAGGAGCAAGGGGGAGAAAATTGGGCCATTAGCCGCCCCAGATGAATACACTGAGATGAAAATGAACGCTGCTAACTGCCAGTTGACCTTCGCACCGGATTTCTAGCCATTCCCTCTTTACCCTTCTTTTATTAGCAGCAGCCGCAGTAATTATGGCAAATTGAATCATAGTGAAAACTGGAATCAGTCAGTAATGAGAGTTTTATATTGTGTGAAACTGAAGCAGGAAGGAGGAACGCAGCAGAGAGAATACTGAGAAGCAAAAGCCACTGGACTACGGAGGGAAGAGGAGGGAGAGATGGATGCGAGGGTGTTTGTCACTGAGTATTGTTTCTGTTTAGAGGTTTCTCCTCCATATGGCTGCTGCTGGAGGGGACACACAAATCAGAGCACCACAGTAGTATTTATAATGTCAGATTCTAACACACTGTGACTACACATTATCACATTTTTTTTCTTAGCAGTGACACTACTTCAGCTGTCAAATATGTGTGTGTGTGTGTGTGTGTGTGTGTGTGTCCATTAAATTATCAATTCTTTTAAAGAAATGCGAGAAAAAAAGAATACAACTTTTATTATCTACGACAGCACAAATGTTCCTTTCCCTGACTGTGTGTGTTTGCGTGTGTGTGTGTGTGTGTGTGTGTGTGTGTGTGTGTGTGTGAACATGAGCCAAACAAAACACAGACAAAGGGCCAAACCGCACTTCCACTGACAGACAGAGAGAGGTTTAAAAAGCACCAGAGACAGAGAGAGAGGAGTATGTAGAAGAATGGTTTGAATGGAGTCTCACTGGCAGACTGAAGTCGCTTCTCTTTGTCAACACCTGTATGTTTTTTGACATTGATTTTATTCTTTTCATGTGCTTCTTTCTGTCTGCGACTGCTTTCCTGTCCAGAAATCCAAACCCTTTTGAGCATGTGCATGTGGAAGCTTCAGTGGCCTTTTCAGATTAATTATTTGTCAATTTACGATTAATTATTTGCAATTTTATAAAACGTTTTCTCAATTTATTTACATTTAAAACTAAAAATGAGAATACATTCTGTAATTCCATTATCACAAGATGCTAGGAAGGAGTTGGTCTAATATTGTGTTTGAATACTTTGTAAAACCAAACATATGATATCTAAAGCAACCTTCTTTAGTGTGCAAAACTCATGTTCAGCGTTGCTGACAAACCCTCACTTCTTGACCACAAAAGCAGCAGACTCTTGAATATCTTTATACCAAAATCACATGCATTTTTTTAGCTACTGAAATACAGAAATGCGTGTTTTATTCTAATCCTATGACTTCAGCACAAAACAAAGCTCATTTTATGTAAAAAAAAATTAATATCCTCTTATTGTGACTTTAACACTTTTTACAGAAATTACATGTTAGCTAAATTTACGTGACTTAAAATTTTGCCAAAATGTTTTGGAATATTTGTGCAGTGATAGCTTCTTATAGCTGTGTGGAAAAAGCTCTACAGCACAGAACATCATGATGAAGTACTGTACATAAAACTGTATATCTGACAAGACTGAACAAGGGGCTAGTCATTTTCTCATATGTTACATTTACATGACAGCTTTGACTGAAGAGCAGAGCAGGTCTTAATAGAATACATAAAAAGGACAGGTTTGCTAGTTAACAAGCTAGCATTAACTTGACTGATGGACTGATGGAAAGCTAACATAAAAGCACTGATGTCATGGTAAATAACAGGACTTAATGTAACAACAGTAAGCAGTGGACAAGACAGTTTTCATGGCAGTACTAAATTATATTTGCTCATTTATTTCCAGTCATTAGGCTCACATCTGTAAAGAAAAGACACTTCTAGAGGTAATATTTCTGTAAAGACAAAGCTGGATGTCAGGAACAGAAAGTGAACTGATATGACCTTTACAGAGTTGTGGAGAGCCCCTACCCCCCTCTCCTACTCTAACACACAAACATAAAAATCCCACACTTACTGTAAATGCACACGGAGTAGGTCATAATTCAAACGGAGTGTATGTGTGTGTGCAAGACAGAAACACTGAGGAGGGAAAGGAAGAAAGTATCTATGCAGATGCCGAGGAGGGAGTGTGTTTTCTCATTCAACCACCCCACCCAACACACACACACACACAAAACACTCCATAAAACACAGGGCTCTACATTCTACCAAATAAAGTGATGAGCAGCTCCCTCTCCCTGTTTTTTCATATGGAAATAGGAAATAATGGGGTGATTAAATAGAGTCGTATATTAAAGTACAGCTGACATTAGAATTAGCATAATGTGCTCTCGCCTCAGGCTGCATACTTTATTTGCCATCTGCGTTGGACTCCCTTCCCCGGGGATGGTGAACACACACACACACACACACACACACACACCTACTCTCACACTTCGACCAAACAAATACCATGACCTGCTCCTTCCACTGCGGCCGGAGTGAAACGATGTTTCATTGCAAAAACACACTCTATCTCAGGTTCACTCTCTCTCACTCACACACACACCACTTTGCTCTTAATTGTGGGGCAGAACTGAACTTCGGCTGCTCTGCGATGACTTCTGCTGGCAGACGAGAGGTTCAGCTGAAAGGCAGAGGACAGAAGGAAGATTCGCGCTCTCTTTTTTCACTCATGGATCAACGGGTTGGGCAAACAGAGAGGGAGCAAAAGTAGGGGGGTGGATGTTTCTTTTTTGGAGTGTTCTGGGTCTTAATATTCAAAAGGGAAAAGCTTGTGTGTGTGAGACAGCACTGAGACAGAGAAAGGTGCAGACAAAAGCTGAGACATGGGGAGCTGTTATTGTCATTGTGTCATTATGTGTGTATGTGCATATGTGTGTGTGTGAGCTGTCCACTATAATTAAATCAAAAGGCTTTACAGGACTGTGGAGGTGAACAGCTGTTCTGTCTCTTGCCTCTCCTTCTTAATGTAGACACGTGCGCGCACACACACACAGGCGAATGAAAGAGGGAGATAGACACTTCCATAAGAAAAGGTTTGCTGTTAAAGGTTCATGTCTAATAGGGAGAAATTAGGCGACTGATTTATAGATTGTTGAAATATAAATTTCTTTAAAAGCCAGAAAGATGAAATATTGCTTATATAATATTTTTAGAAATATTTTAGGCTTTTTACATGGTTGTTTATTTGCAGCAAATACCGTTGGGCGAATTATCAGACTTAAATATACTACACACATTAATGGATTTGGTTATATGCATGCATATCATTTCAATTTCTTTTTTCAGGAAATGCATCTAGGCACTTCAGGGGAGAAAAATGGATACTTACTGTAGATGGGAGAAGTAGAAGATTCAACAGAATTTGATTCTCATAGTAGTGCGTTCTGTTATAGATAAAACACTAATAACAGTATTTATATTAAACGTACATGTCTGTATGTGTGGGCTAAGTACCAGGAATAAACCATGTACATTCCCACACACACACACACACACACACACACACACACACACACACACCAGTTACCATAATTCAAAGGGAACTTGTTACTGCCACAATACAGCCAAGCCTGATCTACAACTAAAGAACAGTAAACGGGCTGAGGAGCACTCCTGGGTCGAGGAGGGACACATAACAGTACGCGTTCTTGTTCTCACTCTTATTTATTAAATGAAAACTCAGTCGTCACCTCGTTCACTACTTTCAGATACCAGGAGAAACATATACTGCTCCAGTTGTTTGGCTTACTTGTATGTGTGTGTGTGTGTGTGTGTGTGTGTGTGTGTGTTCACGTGCATCTGCATAAAACCACATGGAACAGAGTCTTCGCATAGTGATGCATAATTACTTGTCTTGATTCATTTCCTACAAGTGATTGTTTGCTGTCCATAACCCTGAGGATATTGTAATATGTATATGTATACAGTATTTAAAGTCCTAAAAAAACCTGTGACTTTTTCAGGGGTGAGCTGTTTGAGAGGGTGATAAACAGATTTCTATGTTTTCTTGGCAACATTATAAAGTATTACAACTGTGATTGGTTTATTCAGACCAGCTCACAACACAGATGCCTTTTGAATACTAATAACACTTTGCTATCTATTTGTATTTTTCTTCTAACACTCATTAGAACCTGATTTTTCTTTTATTTCAGCCGAGAGCTGAGACCTTTACTTGTTAGTGCATGATTAGTCTTCCTTAAATAACTCTTGAAAATCGTGCATCCTCCATCTTCACCAGTATGAATTTGGCATCTCAAACTCAGCAAATATTACAGACTCTCTGCTTGGAGAGGTTCCCAGCTTTTTAAAATCATTCATTCAGCACACTCATGAATGCACAAACACTCACATACTGTACACCTACCAACATGCTTACTGTACGTAAAAGCCCAGATGCAGACACACAGTCACACATACACACTGTATTAATTCAGATATTTCAGTGGGAGATTCACTATGTACTAAGTGAGAGATTAGGAACCTCTTAAAACATAGATCCAGTGTTGGCCAATCCAGTGTGACTGTGAAAATGCACTTGTCAAAAGCATGATAAGTACATAGCTTTTATGTGACAACATGATGAGCCAAGGCTTTTCCGGCTACTGGGAGTATTAGGCAGAGTATAAAGCACACACATCGCACTGCCTTTCCGCAAGAAAAGTTTACATGCTGCAACTAAGGTGCTGTTAGAAAAACTATTGTTAATGAGAATTTGAATCATGAATGAAGTGGATTCCTTTAACCTAATAAGATCTTTAAAAAAAAATTTTTGTTCCATTTTGGTATTGAAAAAACCCAGGTTATTTCTGAAATGCTTCTGAAGTCCTAAGATCGTAGTAAGATGCACTTCTTACTTTGTGTGTTGCAGGTGGCAGGGATGAGCCTTCCAGCTATATTTGTACCACATGTAAGCAGCCTTTCCCCAGCGCCTGGTTTCTGCTGCAGCATGCCCAGAACACCCACGGCATTCGCATTTACCTGGAATCCAACCCATCAAGCACAGCCCTCACCCCACGTATCACCATGCCTCCGCCCATGGGAAATGACTCCATCCCTCAGTCCCCCCTCGCCAACTTTCTTGGGGACAACAACCCTTTTCATCTTTTGAGGATGACTGGTCCCCTGCTCCGGGAGCCTCCCCCAGGCTTTGTGGAGAACCGCCTTCCCAACACGCCACCGTTCGTCAGCCCGCCGCCCCGCCACCATCTGGATCCCCATCGGCTAGAACGCCTTAGCGCAGAGGAAATGGGCCTCATCTCCCAGCACCCTAGTGCCTTTGAGAGGGTGATGCGGCTAACGCCCATGGCAATGGAATCACAGTCCATGGATTTCTCCAGGCGGTTACGTGAATTGGCAGGGAACACCAACAGCACCACACCACCACTCTCACCCAGCAGGGCCAACCCTGTGCACCGACTACTAAACCCCAACCCCTTCCAGCCTGGGCCAAAATCGCCCTTTCTGAGCACGCCACCCCTACCGCCTATGCCTCCAAACAGTACCACCCCTCCCCAGACACAGAACAAGATCAAGTCCTGTGAGTTCTGTGGTAAGACCTTCAAGTTTCAGAGCAACTTAGTGGTGCATCGGCGCAGCCATACTGGAGAAAAACCATACAAGTGCCAGCTGTGTGATCATGCCTGCTCGCAAGCAAGCAAGCTGAAGCGTCACATGAAGACCCACATGCATAAGACCGGATCCCTGACAGGGCGCTCAGATGATGGACTCTCTACTACAAGCTCCCCAGAGCCAGGCACCAGTGATGTGACAGGTGAGGGCATGAAGAATCGTGATGGGGACTTTCAGGGGGAAGGCAATGAGGAGGAAGAAGAGGAGGAAGAAGAAGAGGAACTCGAGAATGAGAGTCGACCAGAATCCAATTTCAGCATGGAGTCTGAGTTCTACCGAAACAGGGAGAATGGTTCTAAACCATCCTCAGAAGAGAAGACATCACTTGCCCTTGAGAAGATGGTGGAAGGTGGGGGGCTCAACTCTATACAGCCGTACAATAATTTGATAGTTGACAATCGTAAAAGGATGTCCTTCTCCAAGAGGGGCTCAGATGCCCAGCGGGACACTGGGGATGAGGACTCAGTGGCTGGGGAGATGGACCATCACCAGCAGGAAGAGAGGACAACCATTAATGGCCGGAACTGTGGTTCTGGTGACTCTTTCTCAGGCCTGTTTCCCCGTAAACCCACCCCCATCACCAGCCCCAGCCTGTCCAACTCCTCAAATAAGAGGATCAAGATTGAAAAGGACTTGGATATTCCCCCAGCACCCCACATCCCCTCTGAGAACGTCTACTCCCAGTGGTTGGTGGGTTATGCTGCCTCACGCCACTTCATCAAAGACCCTTTCCTAGGCTTCACTGACTCCAGACAATCTCCATTCGCCACCTCCTCTGAGCACTCATCAGAGAATGGCAGCCTGCGCTTCTCCACTCCTCCAGGTGACCTGCTAGATGGTGGCCTCTCAGGCCGCAGTGGCACTGCCAGTGGGGGCAGCACGCCTCATCTGGGTGGAGGCCCTGGTCCGGGCCGGCCTAGCTCCAAGGATGGCAGGAGGTGTGACACTTGTGAATTCTGCGGCAAAGTTTTCAAGAACTGTAGCAACCTGACGGTGCACCGGCGCAGTCACACTGGTGAAAGGCCCTACAAGTGTGAGCTGTGCAACTATGCCTGTGCCCAGAGCTCCAAGCTAACACGCCACATGAAGACACATGGTCAGCTTGGTAAAGAGGTGTACCGCTGTGACATTTGCCAAATGCCCTTCAGCGTGTACAGCACTCTGGAAAAACATATGAAAAAGTGGCACGGAGAACATTTGATGACAAATGAGGTCAAAATTGAACAAGCAGAGAGAACCTGAAGTAGGTTCCCTATTTCTCACACTCTGCGCATCACTGACTTAAAAAATAAACAAAATGGGGTAGCTGGATACTCTTTTCCTGAAATATTAATTTTGAGTTAATCTTGTGTTTTTGCCTAAGAAACTGCCAACTGAGAAAAAAAAGTGAAAACAGATCTTAACACCAAGTGAAACTGTCTAAACTGCCTCATTTGGTGTTCCTTTTTAAGCAATCAGTCAGTTAAGTTATAACATATGTGGAGCCTTTAACTGTGCAATAATTTCTGTATTTATTGTATTTTGTATTTTGGCATGTGCAGGTACATTTTTTATTTAGGCATTTTTCAAAAAAAATTGTTTTATTTTGTTTTTTTGTTATTTTTTTAACCCACATGATATCCTGAGAGTTTTTTTAGAAGACAAAAGTGAATTTTGAACTTTTTGGCTGCTGCTTATAGGACATTGCATATTAACCTAAACCTGAGTTCATTAAGGGAAGCAGAATTCTATCTTCAATTTGAAAGTGGCGTTAACTGAGAATGCTAGAATTAGTCTATTCTGTGTGGTGGTGATGATGATACGCGGACAACAATCCTTTGGCACTGTAGCATGAACTGACTCTGAAACATGTCAGTATAATTGGATATGTAGCACTGAGTGTCATATTTGACAGTAAATGTAAAATCAAAGAGGATCCCAAGGTTCATTAACCCCGTCTCCTCCTGAGAACATCATAACAAGCGAGAAGAAACAGATTCTAGATAAGGCAGCTGCTGACTGGTATGTAGTACCAAGCCCTGACAACGCTACAACAACCATCCTTCATTTCTTGTGCCCCCCACCCCCCTTAACTTACTACCATCTTATCTACATTCAAACATCCATATATTATATTTTGCATGAAGCCATATGATCTAGGCTATATTGTTTATTAGGAGTAAACTGAGCATGAAGCCATGCAAGATAAGTATGCATAGAAACAGATGGAAGAACAAGACAAGAGAGTGAGTACAGGGACATCTCAGGGTGAGCTATCCTACTTTATTCTGTCTTTATTTACCCACTTATCCTTATGTTCCAGAGACATTTCCATTCATCATATGTTGAAATCATTAGGGACACGTCCTCTACAGCTTCTGTTGGTTCCTTCTGTCCCATTCTATCTGGATAATGTCCAGACTTTATCCTTATTTCAAAGTAGGCATTTATATTTGAAGTCACAGCTTCTAATTATAATATGAATTAGTTTAGAGAAGGTTAAATGTGTGTTCATATGTACAAGGCAGATGCTACCACTTTAACTGGATTTCTGCAGAAAATATTTTATGATCAAAATTTATAAAATTCAGCATCCCTATGCATCTGAAATGACATTAGTAGTACATTATTACTTGCATTTTATAATGATTCTATAATTAACAAAGTCACCTCCGAGAATAAAAATCCTTCAAGGTTTCACTGTTACATGTGAGACACTTAGAACAAGAAAAATGTGTCAGTGTGTGCTGAAAGATTAAGACTAATATTAAGAGAGCTGAAAAAACTTAGAAAAAATCAACTGGACTAGATTTCTAGGTCGAAGACGTTTCACCTCTCATCCAAGAGGCTTCATCAGTTCTGACTGACTGGTGTTGAGCCAGAGATATTTTTCAGCTTACTATGACCTGGATGACTAAGAATCTGCACAGAAATATTAAGAGAGTAACATCAGCTCGCGCCATGCTCTGTTTTGTTGTTTTCAGTATCATAATCCCAGAATTGTTTCCCATGGTGGCCCTTTTTTGTTTTAAATGACATCTGATTTGAAAGCTGTCAATGCTCAGATTCAGAGCTCTTACCAACAGACCCACACTTTAGGATTTTTCGTCCGACACACACAAAGAGAAGGATATAAAAGCTACTAAAGAGTCTAAAGCTTGGGATCTCCTGATGCTGAAGTGCCCAGGGTTGTTAGGCTTGGCTTTCCCAATGCTGGCACTATAAAATGAATAAAATAAATATATGTATTTGGGACAGTTGCTGTACTGCCATTCAATTTGACTTGTGTGCCTTGAATAACGATCTTCCTATTTATTATCTCAGACAAATGCAACAGTTTTATGATGCATCAAATTGAACAAGACAAGAAAAAAATAAATGAATAAACTAAAACACTGTTAACTTTAACATATAGTTTGACATTTCAACGGAATTATTTAAATTAATAAAGTGAAACAATGCTGAGTTTAGGTTTAGGAGTACCCAGCACAATACTGATGTGTCTGTGTGTATATATGTATGCATATGTACATATAAAGGCACAAACCTATATATAGATATATATCAAATTCCTCACTCATAAGGACAAGAGTCCGTCCCTCAATAGACAATTCCCAGAGTGGACAGAAGCCCCAGAAAAAGGCAAGGAAGAGACTGGACTAAATTCAGGAACTGCAGAAACTAAAAAGAAAATGAAAAAACAATTCAGTGCACTCTGTCTTAAAATACGTTTACAGTATTGAAACAAGTACAAGGGTAAAATAATATTTGTGTGTATGTGTGTTTTGAGCAAACAATTCTTTCATTTTCTAGTTTCTCTGAATGCCGTAGCGGCAACGTGTATATGGTTTTCCTTTGTTTTATTCTTTCTGTTCTTTTTTCTATTTCTTTTTTCTTTTTGGTGACGGGGTTTTAATATATATATATATAAATATATATGAATATATATTACATTTTTCTTGTTTACTGTAAAAGTATACCAGTATTTGTAATATTGGAGAATGGAGAAAAACGGTTGTTTTTGATTTTTTATTTTGCAGTCCAATTTAAATTGTGGGTCTCTTAAAATGTTTTTGTCACTGTAATTGTAAAAGTCTTAAGTTTTAGTAACTTTATTCTGCCTTGGGTGTAATGAAATAAAAAAATAATAAATGAATTAAAAAATGACTGAGCTATTACACATTTGGTGGTGGGGGGCTTGGTGCAGGGGTTTGGGGTCATGGTGGGTGGGTGGGTGCCGAAGGAGGTTGTAGAAGTGACAGAACATTGATTCTGTTTTTCAGGAAAAACACTGGGAATCCTGACTTATATCTATTTTCTTCTTCTGGAATGGATTATTCTTCATGGATGGTTTGAAATACATGTGTAGGCACTTGCTGTCTGTCCTAAGGAGCTTGTCTTTTTTTATCTAGTAGGCTATGTGCATCCTTTGTGAATAGGGTACTGTCAGTACCTCTGGACACTTTGCTCTTATACTGGGTGCAGGGGGAGGTTGACTTCCTTCCGCTGATGAAGATACAACTCACAGGCTGCCACAATCTATTTTTCCTCTCACTGGGCAGGATAAACAGAACCTGATGAATTCGTACTGTTATAATGAAGCCGATGTACAAAAGACGATCAACATGAGGTTGTTTGACAGCCTTTTAGTGACAAAAACACAAGTCAGTGTTTTGTTTACCGCTCCATTGGTTGTATATAGTTTTCTATGACTACACTGTTTTCAATTTGTTTAACTTTATTTTTATTTTTATTTTTATTTGCTTGTGATTTCTAACTGGCACTGGCAGTGACTTCCTGTGTTTGGGGGGTGGGGTTATTCTGTTTGACCTTTGTGACCTTCATGTCAGTTTTCAGGCACATGCCTCCCCATTGATATTTCTCGGCATGAGAACAGAGCACAAATACAAGCTGTTACAATTCTCCATCCTCTGCTTGTTTGTCTCTTTTTGTTCTTTGAGTTAATCTGACAGAAACGAGCCATGGAAAAAAAAACACCAAAAAGGTATTGCTTATACACCAAGGTTTTAGACACAGTACAGAAAACAGACTACATATGAAGCGCAAACACATTTACTGCTGCAGAAACTGAACACAAAACCGACCATCATATGATAACCAGTCAGTCAAAGTCGTGCTGAGGTGATGATGAAGGAAACAACAACATGACTTGTACATTTCATTCCTTTAATGCTTTTTATTTTGCTCACAGAACAAGCTTGGTGATTAGATACAACCTTGAAAGCTACTGAGTTTCCCATCAGCAACACCTCTCTCAAAGAAACAAGTGAATCTAGTAAAGTGGCATTTCCATTGTTTTCTTATAACATTTCTTTTCCTGAATGCTTTCTTGTTTTTATTGGCCTTCCCATACAATCCTTACAGTCTAATCACTTCCACATTTCGTACTGACAGCTTTACTTTAGATTTCCTCACATTTGTGCTGAATAATATTAACAAAAAAACAATCAAACAACAAAAAAAAAAATGTTGGTGTGACATAGAGAAAATCCTTTTGCTTGAGGTGGGGCTTTCTGGAGTAGATAGGTTGTTTTAGTTGTTAGGGTTATTTATACAGGCTGAGGTTTGTTCTCTCTGATGTCACTGACATGCAGCCAGTGGATGCTGTTGACTGGTTATAGCAAACATGATATGCAACTTCCCCATCTATTTGTCCTTTTTTATTATTTTTTTTAAGAATACTTTATAACAAGTTGTGGTGCATTAGCGCCACATGGAAAGCACAGACATGCACTGAAACAAACACAGCAAATGAGTCCACAAAACACTTTGATTATTTTGACCACTATAAGCCATGCAACACACCACAGTTTACTGCTGCCCTGTGGAAAACTACACATGGACGGTCGTCATTAACAAGATATTTGCACTCCTTAAATCCCTGTTCAAGGAAAACTTTTGGGCATAGTCAATATATAGGTATAGTTTATAGATATATAGAATACTACATGTATGTACAGTACTATAGGTATTGGTATACAGTTTAACTTAATTCCTTATCAGCATAATAACAATTAAATCAGCAAATTTCAGTGACATAGAGTATGAATCTATTTTTGTATGTTGTATTTCATGTCAGAACTCGGTCCGAACCCGACGCAGGTAGAGCAGTCGTCTCCCAACCAGAGGGTCGGAAGTTTGAATCTTGGTGCCTGCAGTTCACATGTTGAAGTGTCCTTGGGCAAGACACTGAACCCCAAAGTTGCCCCCGATGGTTAGAGCCATCGGTTGAGTTGGCGCCGCAGATGGCTGCCTCGGTTCTGTACCGGAAACAAATTCCTTGTGTGTAACATACTTGGCCAAATAAAGGTGATTATTATCCTTATTATCCAGTTGAGTTTGTGAGATGTTTTTCTGGGCCCTCGTGCATCTAATATTTTATATAACGTTGTCTCCACTTGACCAGTTCATCATTTTAATTTTTAATACCACTTTACATTAGACTAAAGAAGAAGGATGTAGGGGTAGTTTCTGAGCTCAAAATATTTACACGTGAAAATGAAATATGTGCAAATACATCCCCTCTAGTGTATAAGAGTTCTGACCAGTTTAAAGATTACAGTATACAGCAGGGACTGCACTGCAACAAACTGTTTCACAGCATGCTTTTAAAGATCTAGTATAAGAATGATTTGATTCCATTTGCGCATCTATAATCAAATCAGAACTGTTCGGTGACAGTGTTTCTAATACTCCAGTCAACAAGTCACTATTTACACATATACTTTTTAGTACAGTCACTAGCAGGATGCCTTTGTAGTTTAATTCCTTTTAAGCATCTTAGCCATCAATAATAAAAACTAAACAAAAAACATATGCTATATTGTTTTAACAGATAGTTATGATGATTACAGTAAACTTAACACATCATGTTAATGGCTGCGTGTTGCACTGTAGTCATTATACGAATTCTTTCCTACATATATTTTAAGTAGAAGTGAATTAGGTCTGAGTGTGTATAATTAAATCTGAAACCTTCAATGAAAACATGTCTAGCCCTCTAGTTTAGTCAGCTAATTTAAAAATCACTGGGAACACAATTATCATCCACAATAGCAGCCTTTTCTCCTGTTCGCTGCTCTGATTGACATCTCTTGTCAAAAAGCGTATGCCACTTCAGAGGTGGCACTGCTACTTGTTAAAATGTTGAACCTCGCCATCAATCCGTGGGGCTCAATATTTTACAAAGACCACAATGAATAAATGACAGGTTATGATAATTAAATCTGATTCTAAAGAAACAGGCTAAATGTTTGGCCATCAGAAGTAACATAAAGCAGAGAAGCAGAGATCATTTATTGTTTTTATCTCGCAAAGCTCTGCACTCCTATCACTTTGAATGACAACATTTACAATGAAAATAACAAAAATCTACATTGACTGCAGCACTGCCTGTGTCTTCTTAAGCAAGACTCACGGACGCAAATCATCTCCCAAAAATAAGGTCAGTAACGCTCATATCATCTGCCTCAACATTTCACATTTTCTTTCTGATTTTGATTTCATTTCATCTTTTCAATTCAACAGCAGACAAGGAAAGAAAAAAATCCAGATCTACAATTAGTCTGAGGGAGGCAGGAGTTGGATGGACTGGAGCGAGTTGTGGCTTGGCTTGAGTTTCAAGGCAATTGGTAATTAAGGCTTTTCCCTGGCCGGTCTGCACTTTGAAGTCCCCTACAGGGGGGATTATCCCAGCCAAGAGAAAGAAAGTGAGAGCAAAGTAATGAGACCCAATAAGAGGGGAAGAAACTGAGAAAGCAAGGAGTGAAGGCTCACAGACAAGAGAGATTAAAAATTATAAGGAATTCATTTGAAAATGGCTGAAATCAT